GGATTTTATAGTAATGTAAAATGGATTTCAAATTTGATTTAAGGTGGTAAAATAGATAGGTCAATTTTTTCCCCAAATTCAATTTCTCTGATACTTTGATCTTTTGCTCTAGGATACAAAATCTCTTCTTTATATGATATGAAAGAAATTCAATCACACATTTTTGTCCACATAGTTTGAAATATGGCCTGTAAGAAAGTTGTGAAATCAGACATTCAACGTTTTTCAACATTATCAATTCATTTATTGAAAACTTGCATGATGCTGTTTAGACAATATTATTGTTACTGGTACTTGAATTCAATAAGTTTAGTTATAATGATACTGGTAAATTTGAATAAGATATTATGTAAAAATAGAGCATACATATAAGTGTCAGAATTGAAAATAATTCACAAGTAACTATGCTACACACAAAGTTATCTCACAACAAATTGTATGATTCAATTTTTACAAAAAATCAACAGATTGATTCTAATGGGTCCCAGAATAAATTGTGTCAAAATAAGGAAAATTGAACTGATAGTTTTAGATATTTCATCACAATATTTTTTATTTAACTTTTTATCTTTAACCTCTTGATATGACATTGACCTTTACAGTACATTAAACATCTCGTAATATATGTGTCCAAATATCAGCCCTCTACTATACATGGAACATAAGTTACATTGCATTTCGCAACAGACTTACAGTCTGTACTGCATTTAAACAGCATTATGCGATTCTAAAATGTAAGCTAGCAAGTGACCAATACATGTATTTAGAATTCTCTGATTTTTCCCCCACAAAATATGATGTCAATTTTTGCTTGCTTAAGTAGCGCATAAAATATCTACCAAACTAAGTGATTTTGTCTTCAAATACTGGGCAAGTTCTTATAATTGAGAGTTGTCTTACTGGTAGCTTGTCTAGCATTGTAGTGCATATGCAAGATGTTTTTTTTTACTTTACTATCTGGTTTCATCTCTTTGTATGATATATAATTTTATATTGTGTGTGGACTCTAGACACTGATAGATGTTTGAAGTTATAAATCTAAGTTTATCATCACTGTAATGAAAATGAACTGTCTATCCCAACATTAACAATATTTCAGTGACATTGCATCTTACAGAACGGTGTGTCGATTTACCCTAATGGAGCCAAAGGTGACTCAAATGGACTTCTGTAGACTTTATATCAAAACTAAAATACATCTATATATATAAAAAATTATTTAGTTTTGCGTTTTAGATATTTATATTGTTGAATATTCAGAATAATGGCTATTGAAATAAATGTGTTTTATGTTTATTACAAACATTCAAATTATTGTATCAAAAAAACTTACTATATCCATGACATTTAAGCAAATTATTTTAAAATATACGAGTTTACCAATCAGAAAAGTTCACAAATTTATGCTTTTTTGTAAATCAGTCACGTAGCAACAGGGGGCCGGGGGCTTGCCCCCCCCCCCCCCCCTATTTTCGAGACATAACTTTTTGTTTTACTGTATTAAAAATGTTCATTGAAAGCCGGGTGATTAGCAACACCCTTGAAAGCCCCCCTCCCACCACACACACTTTCAAAAAAAGATGCTAAATCACTATAGATGATATTACTATTTTTATCATAATTAAGTCCCTTTTGTTAAATCGACGCATCTTACTGAATGTCACCTATCATGGATCATCATTGAACATATAATGAATCAATGTGAACAGAACTCATCTAACCAAAAACTATATGTATGATGAAAATTGATTGAAAACTGCTCAGTTTTTAATTTATGACAGAGAATGTTAACACCTAAACATCCATAGGGAAAATCCACATAAATCTTTGTGTACAAGAAAAAAAACTTTTAAGCATTATAGACACATTAAAACCACAATAAATAAAGGAAATTCGCGTCGCAACTTTATTTGAAGTATTCTATACTGGTTGCAAGTGACGAGACCATAATTTAACCTTACTTGTGTCTTACATTACATTTATCGGCAAAAACAAACGATAATTATTTTTATTTTATCTTGTTAAAATACTGTCTTACTTACAATAGATCGGTTTTGATTGCGAGTTTACTGATCATAATTCAAACAGCTGATTAAGTTGGATGCCGATCTCGATGTTTAAAAACATTAAACAGTTTATAGTACACTTCTGCTGTCGCTTTCTTTTCCCAAATAGTTTTTTTTCAGTAAATTAATAAATATCTAATTAAATTAGTCATATATTGCCCTTCTTCTTATGTAATTTTGGAGATGAAGTATCATATGAAAGCCCAGATCAGATGCCGATCGCAATGCAATAGCGTCGAATGTCAAACACTTATTTTTCAAGATTTTTCTGAAAATATTAAAAAAACCAGAATTCTTTAACAGTCTTGGAACTTTATTACTTCGATTTTACTTCATTTTAAACACTAATTGCGTCTTTATAAGGCGATTACAACTTTCTCTGGGTCTAATTATACAAGTGCCGAATTGCTAGGCTACCGCTTTTTTTAGAGCGACACTGAGCACTAGCGACAGTTTTCACTGGTACACCCGTCAAAAAAACTTTATATATTTATTTAAAAAGTATATAAAATTTACCAGGCACAGGTATCAGAGTTGTCAAAATGGCCTGAGAGGAAATATTAAAAAAAATTCTGAACAGAAAGGAAAATCCCTTTTACATGTATGGAACTACTATTGAATAAGTTCATTTTGATTGGTTAGGTATTGGCGTGATACACTTGGTCGACTTTAACCCTGCCTTGTCGTCGGAATAAAACCGACTTTGAGCCCGAGGTTAAAATAAGTAGAGAAATAAAATGTGAATCGATATATTAAAAATATGACATATGCTTGAAAAATGATAAATTTATATATGTATTTTTTTCTTTGATTCGAGGGATAGAAAGATATGTTAATCGCTTAATCAACATGCCATAATCATCTTGCATATGCATGTACATGTACGTGTGCGCGCATGCAAAACGTTAAACAATATATCGTTGAAAGTTCATATCATTGTAACTTTTATATTCTGAAATGAAATCTTGGGATACTTAGCATATTTATAAAAGGTCTTAGAGGAATAAGGCACGATAAGGGACATGGGGAGCGTTTGGGGAACATCTGTAACGGTCCCCGTTACAATTAGCACTAGTTTTGATTAGACTGTGTCTCTGTCACTCTTCAATATTTTTTCTTCAATCAAATTTTCCTTTTTTAATTCATTCTAGGAATGAATTTAATAGCTACCCAAGTTATACTGTATATCCTGGGTTGTGCCAGTTTTGGCTTTCTATACAGCGAGGCTTTCATTTCAAAGCAGGTTACACTATTATAACTTGGATAACGACTTATCCTCAAAAACTTGCATTATATATTAAGCCAAATGTTGTGGGTTTTTTTTCACTTTTTAAATGCTCACTGTAGGAGCTATTACAAATAAAACGCTATTAATTTTTAGCAATATTTATTTTTAGCGATCTCAGAACTCTCGCTAACAATACAAAAATTAAATTCTTGCTTAAAATTATGCTTATACGAGGGTTGATCCAAAAGTAATGCCACAGTGTCCATATCTTTAATATTTGGCGTCATATTATCAGATATTATGTGCAAAAGATATATAAAAATAATCGAATGAAAATTACAAAATTCATTTAATAACGTTTGATTGAATTTATTTTATAGATGTTTAAAACATTAAACATAGGGGGTGTCACCGCGTCACAACTTAACGTCACGTTTTAAAGTTAATATTGTTAGAATAAAAAAAGACAAACACATTTAAAAAAGCATCTAAAAATCGTCTAATCGTCAAATATTTTAAAAGACCACATTTACGACATTTTCTAATTTTTAGTTAAAAATGAAATGGCAGCATTGTTTTTTTTTTTCATCATAAACAGTATTGTTTATATCTGATGTATTGCAGAAAGGAAATGTCGAAATGGAATAAAACACAGAAAAGAGGTGTAATATATTTTTCCTTCAAAATCGGGAAATCACAAGTAGAAACAGTTATGATGGTAAATCAAACTCGCAGAGAAAAGAATGTTAACGAGAGACTTGTTCATAGATGGTTTCAGAGATTTTGGGCGGGTAATAGGTAAATAAATGATCATTTGGGGACAGAAATACCGAAAGATAGGAGCTCGAGGTCGGGTGGAAACGTTCAATGGTGTCGACGTTGTCGTAAAAGAGATTGGTGTCAGTTTGTATGATATGAGACACTTTTAAGTTTGCCTTATGGTATTATTCAAAGAATTTTGATGAAGGATTAAATTATAAATAAAGTGTACAATTGGTTCAAATTGTTCTTAAAGAAAATAAAATATGAGAATGTTTTGTGACTATCATTGTTTTTTAATACATGTAAAACGATGGGAAGGCGTTTTTAAAAGTGTGTGACGGCGCATATCCGTTTTATGACGTTATTTAGGTGCGGCGACTACCATAATCGCACTTTGTTTTTAAATCGATATTTTGAAAAGTATAAATCATTTTAATTTGAATTTTTCAGGACATATTTAAAATAAATATAGCTTCCATCATGTAAAATTTAGTTAATTTACGTCGAATAGGAGATTTTTTTTTTGAAGTTGTGACATTACTTTTTGATCAACCCTCGTATGATGGGATGTCATTCTACTTCACTGTTTTTGCTTTCTGCTAGTATGTCTGTTTCAAATGATTGCGGTGAAATTTATAAATAATTTCCGTATACGTTTAAATGGTTTTAATATTACTAAAGTTTTAATGATGAATGTTATTTTTATGTGCACAATGTCTGCTGTCAGTTGTGCAGAATACATTAAAAGGAATATGACACTTATCACACTTCAGAATTACTATTGCAAAGGACTCTCAAGACAAAATCAGGCAGGAAAATGATAGTTGTTTTTCCTCAGTTAATATAAAAGTGTGTTTAATATCACACAAATACCGCATTTGTCCGAGTCATTTGATCGGAAGGTTTTTTAGCACTTTGACAATGACAAAGAATGAAGTCACACCTTATGCTTTTGTCAGTGCATTGACAACTTTGCAAATATCATCTCGTTCTTTGTTGATCAGTGCAATCTTTGTTGATAATCTCTGCAGATGTTCTTGGTTTTCAATTATATGCTGACGATTTGAGGAAAGCGTTTGAATAATGTCTTCTAATTTTTTAATTCTTCTGGGTACTATGACATCTGTGATCTTGTCAATTGATTTCTGTATCTTATACTTATACAACTGTTCAAGTTCTTTACATATGCTGCTATGTAGTGTTTTTATGCATTCTTCGTATTCCTGGTCTATTTTCGAATGTTTTTGTTCATTTCCCTCACGAAATATTAGAAATGGGGATGTGAGGGGTGCAATATCTACTCCAACTCCACTTTGTAAGGCCAAAACAAGTCCAATTACTACAACAGGAAGCCACATTGGATATATTTCGACGGTCTCATTATTCATAGGTTCATTTTCCTGTTGCTCAGCTAATTCTGCCCATTCTCTTTCCATATAGGAGAGTTCCGATAACATGTCTTCATAAGCCACTTTAATGTCAGACATCATCAAACTGAACTTTTCTTTAACATCAGGACTCCTGGCTATTTCATAAACATACATATCTACTCTACTTAGGACTGTTTCCTTAATTTTCCAACTGTAAGGAGTATCTATTATTGGAACGTGTCCTTTTGGATTTAATATAGTTTCCTTTCCTCTTTTTGTCGTTGCAAAACGATCGTTTTCATCAGCTATCTTTGTTATAAGTTCATCTAAGCAGTCTCGAAACTGTTTACTCTTCTGATAAAGGAAAAAAAAAACAAGATGAATAAAATTTCCATCAATTCTATTTTGAAATATTTGTCCGTGAAATTAGAAAAAAAATGTATTCATTTTTTTTTTTTTTTGTGAAAGATAACATTTACTTGATGTAAACCTAGTAGCTGCGAGATGAAAAAAAAATGCAAGTCTGTTTGCCATAAATGAATCTGTATTTTTAACCTAGAAATGATAAATACGAATTATCGTCACTTTTGAATGGGTAGAAAATACGCATATTACCAGAAATATATGATAAAATAAATCTAATTTTTCATGTATGTAGTTATAAAAATTCAATTTACCCTCTATAATGACAAGTTTTTTGAGCTTGAAAAAGTTCTGAGGCTATATGACCCTCCTCAATGGCAAACTTTAACTGTGAAATTTTATAAAAGGTATCTTATTTGATGGTAGAATTCGTTTTACCTCTACGCAGTCATCCTTCAATTTTTTAACTTTCTTTTGAGTTTCTTCCAGTGACAATGTCTGTTCCTCTTCAGAGTAAGAAACACTTTTTAGTCTTGCATGTATGTCAATTTTAACATCATCGAGTAACTTCTGTAAAAAACTTAGCAAACACAAAATTATTATAAGATTTGTTAAAAACATAAAAAGGACAAAAATATATATCTTACTATATTAACACTGAATAACCTTTGTTTCATTAGATTGTATAACAAGTTTTCCCCCTCGTCAAAAAAAGATAAGAAGCTGTTCGTGTGAATTTCAATTTATTAACATGGTTTATTCCAAAATTAGGCTTCCCTTGGCGAAAGGACTTGGACATAATGAAAAATGTAATATTTAAAATCACATAATTTCGTGGGGTCCAATTTTCGTGGTTTGAGGAAAATATACTGAAAGGATTAAGAAACGCACAAGAACATGATATCGGAAAATTTTCTGACTATGTGACCGAAAAATATGAAAATTGGTCAGATGTTTATTTTGGTTACTTTGTACTAAAATCACTAGTCAAAACTACTCAACCATGAAATGTATGGCATCACGTAGGGGAAATGATAAAAAGTCAAAAATACGTGCATGTTAATGATGATAATTTTGTTATAAAATTTTGTAGTACCATACTATGCATTAGAGTTATAGACATCGTTTTTGCATATTTGCAGTCAGTATAAATTTCTTACAATCGCGGTATGGCTGACGGAATCTACTGTGGGTTTAGTAATTGAATTCAATATTGCACAAGTGAATAAAAAGGCATAAAAACATGCTGATTTTCAGATTGTTTTCAACTTTTCAACCAAGTAAAAGTGTTTTTGGTTGTCAGAGAGTGAACTTAAAATGTTTCCAATCAACCATGACGGTGACGTTGGCGCGTGCCAACGTCACAACAAGATAGGGCTTTTCATCACGCCACCTCGGTTATTGTCAAGGCATTATCACCGAAACTGATATTTATACAGCAGACAAACATACTCACTTTTTTCAAGCTAAACTGACAGAAACTCTCCGCTCTAATTTGGGCCGCGAGCTTGGCCAGCCTACGTCGATTTTACTCTCAAACGCGCACGTACGCGTCGTTTGCGTAATGTTTTTTAGCATGTTTACACTGGAAAATGTAGCTAATATTTGTCGATATTATTTTACAAACATTCACAAGTACCAAACCTGCTGGGTTCTGTATATTCTCTCTTTAAGCGAAAATTCGCGGGATTCGATTGAGCGGGGGGATTGGTTGACTTTGGAATAGTACAGCTAATCTCAGCCATTAAGACTACCGTCGAAAGGGTTGAATAATAATGCTATGAAAAAATAAATGCTCTAGTGAACTCAATGCACAGGAAAATCAAGTTTGTTACTGATGCGAAAGGGAGATTATGAGAATTTTTAGTTTTATTTTTGGGGGGTGTCACCATATTGATATCAATATCTCAGGAACTATCACTCAAAATCGCACAAAATTTAGGTAACTTGTTGATTAAAGATGAATTAAAATGTATGATAAAAATGCTGAAAAACATATTTGAAATAACTGTTTTAATTTAACTCAAAAGTTTAATATGCGTTTCTTAATCCTTTCAGTATATATTCGCAGCACTCTTAAAGCCTACTATGAAAAATCAGCGGAAAATAGACGTGCAAAAAGGTGGATTTTTTTAAAACTGAATTTATTTTAATTAAGCTGTTTAATTATCACATAACTTAAATACTTATGGAAATAGCATAATATAACCCACTCTGTACTGCATGACGTTTAGTCCCATCGATGGACAGTCACATGATGAATGCATATAGTATGTGTAATGAATGTAGGTCATTAACAAATTTCAATATCGCAAGGGGATACCCTAGTTGAAATTAAAAGTTCAAGCTATTAATTGTTTTGCATACTTTGTAGTTTCTGAAAAGTGCTGCTGCTTTGAATAGAATTCGCGTTTCAATAGCTAAATGTTCAAGTAAATAGGCCAATGTTGAAATATGTTTGACTTTTACTAGATATTTTGTGTACTTATAAAATCACGCCCTCGTTTTAAAGAGAGTAACAACACTTTTCAATTTAAGAAAATATTCTTTATCTATATTCAAAAAATGGTTAAGATCTATGCAGTGTATGCCCTTGCGAAAGTACGATTTTATGAGGCATCTCGATGTAAAATATACGTAACCTGTACATAAAAACACGACATATTTAATAAAATACATTCTCTTGATAGTTAATGAATAATCGCAATAAACAAAGGATATACATTGGTATTAAACGACTATTTAAAACCTGTAAATAATATTCCGTTTAATAAAAAAAAAAACGCGTTTTCATTGTTAAAAAAAATCCTTAATCTGCCTCTCACAGCACATGAAATACGTATTTTTTTACAAAAATGACGTCATGTTTACAAGTTCATCGCGATCAGTGCTTTGTGTATAACCAGCTACATGGGAATTAACTAGAACTTTTTTTAATGCATTGAAAAGTTTTATTGTTGTTTATTATGTTAATACAGTTAAAAGTTATTATGAGAAATACATAAAAGTAATATTTTTGTGTGACGTCACAGTAAACTTTTCACCGCCCCCTTTTTCAAGCGTTAACAATGCTGCTTCGGTTCTTGGGAACTTGAATTCTTGGATGGAGAATTATTGAGTAGTATGTATGAAACAATTTACATTTCGTGGTTGACATGAATTGTGGGTTTCTTCATACTTCGAAAACAATGAAAATTAAAGCCCAACGAATATTTATGAATTCACAGTATAGAGACGAAGGATCAGCATTCACGCTAAAATGCCCATTAAACGATACAATATAAGGAGAAAGAAAACAAGGACCTCAAAAACATGACAGGGGGATTAGGTGCCATCATCGGTAAAATTCGCCGTTTGCTTCTTGTCATGATTGGAAAGAACGGAAAAATTCATCGACAATTCGGGAAGATAATGAAATTAATGATTATTGATATATTAAAAAAACTTAAGAAATGATGACTTTTAACGAGATTGCTGATATTCTTGTTTCTGAAAAAAATATTCTTTCTGTTCCTTAGAATTTTTTTAATTCATCATAAGATCTGCATTAAGCCCCGTATTTAAGTAAAGCCGTCACTTCAAATCTTGTAATTAACTAATCAAAGTCGAAAAAAAGGCAGCGACTGTTCATTTGCCATACGCTGGACACGAAGCCTTAAAAGATCAAGATCCTGCGTCACGACAGGCGTTGGCATGATAAACAATGACCCACAGTGATAAAATAAGGTCTAAATTTGAAACTCTCTACTAAAATTCGAATGGGACGTAAAACAATATACAATCAATAAATCAATCAATGCATACAGCTCCAGAATTATAAACTAGATGTTTCTGCAACAAAAAAGGTTCATGTTGTTATGGATTGACATCACTAGCTGCTGAAACAGAATTAAACTGTGCCAGATTCTTGAGGAATTGATGTATAAAGAGTCGAAAGGTCGGATGTCTTAATGTTATACACTTTTGACAATTTTGGCAATTCTAAATTTTCTTATAGTACTTTTGAGATATTGAGACTCCACGTTTGATTTTACCAAAATCAACAACTTGAAAACTTACGACTTTTCAACTTTATACATAACAATTCCTTACGATAAACAAATAAAGTCCAAGCTTTTTTATATCATTGACAGCTGCTTTTTAATAAAAATGGAACTCGTAAACTTACTATACGTGGTCATTGGTCAATTGCAAAATATTTTGTTAAAACATATTGTAATTGCACACTAAAGTACTCTGAAGTTGACAACAACGAGATGCTTGAGTTTCTGATTGACAATATCTATGGGGTTTTTTTGGAGTGCAGGTACTGTAAAATCATATATTTTCGTGGGGTCAAATTCTCGTGGTTTGCGTAAAAACTTTTGGTTCGTTTGGATATGAATTCGTAGATGAAGAATTGTTGAGTAGTTATGTATGCTAAATTTTGTGGTGGACATGAATTCGTGGGTCTGCTCATACTTCAAAAACAACGAAAATTAAACCCCCACGAACATCTATTCAGATGCATTTGTGATGTCACAGTATCCCAAAAATGTATTGGAATTCCTATGGGTACCAATTGCGTTCCGTTATTAGCAGACCTATTTTTATATTCATATGAAACAGAATGTCTGCAAAATCTTATTTGTGAAGAAAAGTAGAAAACACTTGCTGCGGCCTTCAACGTCAACTTTATCGACAACGTAATGTCAATTATTATTAACAATGATAATTTCTTTTCATGCGTCGATACGATATATTCTGGTGAGCCTGAGATAAAAGATACTTCAGAGTCTGACACATCTGTTTCATACTTGGATATTTTACTTCAAAAAGACGTTAATGGTAATCTAACAACAAAGCTTTATGATAAACGTGATGACTTAACTTTTCTATCTTATACAGCAATATACCTTCATCACCTGCATACGGAGTATATATATCTCAGTTGATTCAATACGCAAGAGCATTCTCTAAGTATGAACAGTTTCTTAAACGAGGTAAATTATTGACAAGCAAGTTGATGAAACAAGAATATCAGCAGTCTCGTTTAAAGTCATCATTTCGTTATTTCTATCGTCGATACAATTTATCATTGAGTCAAATGCTGACTGATGTTTTTCATAATAATTGTTAGTCCATTATTTATACATTGAATTTGATAATGATCATAAAATGATGAAAATTATACAAAACACATACTGAAAGTACATATTTATTGTTTTTAAGCTTTGTCACTGAATATTGGTTTTCATCGGTGATGTTTGATTTTCTTTCCACACTTGTGGAAAAGACCCATTTTTGTAATAATTTGAAAATATCATACCATTCTATAGAGTAGCTTTCTTTTAAAATAAAACATTTATTAATATGAACACCTAGAAGTTTTGATAAGGGTACATACTTGTAAAGCAATCATTCAAAACTTTTAAGAAATGTGCATGTTTTTCTAAGCTGTGAGATTTTTTTTTACAGTAGGACTATGACAATGACGTCAAGTAGCTATTATTCAAACATTTTAATTATGGTCAATAAAATAATATTATAGTCTAATTAGAAGGTGTATTTATCTTTACAACACAGATACCTTTCTGATGGAAACAATGACAAAAACAAATTAACGTTCAATCCAATGGAAGGAAAGACAATTTCAAAAATAATAACGATAAGGATTTTAGATCTTACTTGAAATGATGTGTTACTCTTATATTTTCATTTTCTCTAATAACGTTATCTAAGGTTTCCTGGATCTTCTTAAATGTATCAACATCATCCGATATTCCTTTTTTTACCTGTAAGTGGCAAACATTCAATTATTTTTTTCACCTCAAGAACTTACATTATTCTCAAGAATTTTTCCTTAACTGTATTCATCATATATATGCTTACAACCACACTCCCTACACATGCATACACACTTATTGGAAAAAATAAGAGGAACTACAAAGATTATACACAATGACTTACATTTAGAAGACTAAGTTGAAAAATGTTTTCCTCTTTAACGTCAGGCCAGTTTCTCTTAATGCTCGTTTTTACATGTCTCCAGGTACGTGTCCTTATATCCTCTTCTCCATCCTCGTGAGTTCCTTGAAGTGCATCCCATTTGTTTGTAATGAAAATAACGCCTTTTGGGTCAAAACAAGGCATTTCATCAGCAATTTGTAGATCAAAGATTGATCTCATTATCCTTGGAAGCTGCACAAACGAAATCTTAAAATTACTTAAAAGTTAGTACTCCTTTAAAATCAGCAGCAAATTGCTTTAATTTTGTATCAGAATACTGTTAAAGATAATTTCATTAATCCAATTAAATATATGATGAAAAGAAAACTTTGAATAAAATACCGTTTAGCGGGTTATTTTAGCGGGGTGCTAATTTTGGCTTATATTGGCGTTTTGATGATAGTCCGCTAAGATTTTAATCGCTAAAATAGTCAGTACTCTTCTTAGTGTCCATCTGCAAGCCCGCGTCCGTTAAAATGAATTACGCCAAAATTATTGGCATACCTCTGAACTGGCTAAACACCAAATTTTACACCAGCCAAGAAAACCCACTATACGGTAGGCTGGTGTCACTTATGTTCTATATTGATTATCATTGATATACATACGTTACGAGTATTGATCAAAGCAAACAACTTTTAGATTTAAATACTTTCTGTGCATACATTGTGTACATGCTTTTTTTAAATGAAGAAATAATAGTTGAAAATATGTAATATTAACTCTTAAAATAAAAATGTTAATAGTTTTCTTAAGATTTACGAATGCACAATTTCATAAAATGAAATTTAACATTGTTTTGTAAGCTAAAGAAAACATGGTAAACAAAGATATAATCAATCAATAAATTAAGCAAATCTTTAGTATTGACTTCAAAAATGTTAAATTTTCCAGTTATATAAATAGTTTATTATTTTATTATTTTTCCCAATGCAATATATATACTTCCTATATGTCAATATACTACTGTGTTTGTCATCCGGATTACTGAAATCAGTAAATCAGTCGATGGCTTACGCGATCAGTTTGCATTCCACCTGCCTTGGTTATGTCAATAACGAAGATAAATGAGACGGCATTGTGTAAGTATTCCATCAGCTTTTTAGTACGATCTTCTGATCCACCAATTCCAGGCGTATCAACTATTATGGTATTGTCCTTTTAAAATAGAAGATGATTAAAGCATATCAGTGCCTATTCAGAAAGCTGTAATAAATATTGTCCATAACAATTGCATAAAATGTACATTAT